AGTAAACTGTGCTATATCTGAACGAATACTAATAATTATACTATAGATAACAGATTGTAATAGAGGATCTCAGTAGGTCACTGACTTACTTGAACGGAAATTATTGTCAATAGAAAATGGTAGATCAAAGTCTATAAGGTAAATATAAGAAAGAAGGTAAGTATCTAATCTATATTCTAATTTAAATAATCTAGTACAATTGTTCTTAAGGACTATAGGTTCTAATATGTCGAAGAAAAAGGAATTCCCTAAAGACTGAGTAGCATGATTAAAATCTCTTAAAAAGAGATCAGATTTTGATATTAGATGACATCCATCAGTTGAGGTTAACTGTTCTAAAAAATAAAGATTATGAATGGTTAGCGTATGTTGTACTTTAGAAAAATTGTTGAAGGGGATGATTTTATATAAAGGATGATCACTCCCAAAATACGATTGGTAAGATACAAAGAAGAAGAAAAAGAAATTTTTAAAGAGGTGGAGTTGATAAGACTCAAAGAAGCACTAATGTGATTTTTGTATGATTTCCAATAAAAATGATAAGGCCAAAATTCTAGTGGTGAGACGTGAAGAGCAAACTGTAATTGCAAATTAAAGAGACTAATTGTAGAAATTCTTTCATAAATAGTAGAGTTGTTAAATTGAAATAGTAATGCATTAGAAAGGAATTTAATCTGTAGGGACCAAAGGTCATTTAGATTATAAAATTTTTTAAAATTAAGCATTACATTTGGAAATATGCAAGCGAATTTGCATTTTTATTTAAAAAGAACATGAATAGAAGCGAAAAATTTATCACATTTCTTTTTTGATATAGGAGTAAGTTGTAAGTAATATTCGATTAAAGGATAAAAGACCATGTTAATAATATATGAGATCTGCCTGTCTGTATTTGTAGGTCATTAAATTGACAAAATGACTAATATCTTGCTTGACGTAGTTTTTGATAAAGGTCTGTAATTGTTTGGTATTAATCCAGACACCCAAAAATCTAATCGAGCCCTTCTCAGGAGTGATATTTATTGTAAAAGATCCAAATCTAAGGTCAATACCATTTGTTTGTGAATGCGAGGTAGTTAATAGTTTAGATTTATCTTTGTTAAGTACTGATCTGATAAAAGAGTAGAATTCTTTAGTGATCTTAAGGATATTTTCAAGATCTTCCTGCAAGCTAGCAATTCAATTTGTATCATTTATATAAGTAAGAGAGGATATCTTTTCAGATAACTGGTAAGAAGATAGATGGACTAGGTCAGTTAAACTGTTATGTTTAATAATATATCTTTTATTTAGATTTGTAACCTCACATAGGAGAGGATCAAGATAAATGCATCACAATAAGGAAGATATAACCTCTTTTTGATCGATACTGATTTTAACATCGTAATAATCTGAGATTTCTTGTACAGTAAACACAGCATTTTTTCTTGAGGTAAAAAGATTGATAATCAATTGTACAACAAGTGGGGTATTTTAATTCTATCTAGTATACGTCTGAGATAGGTAAGATCGACTCTATCAAATGATTTGGATAAATCTTAAAGAAGGATCCAAATCCCTTTATTATTTTCATTAGCATCTTCTAAAAGTATATTAAGAATTTTGATTGGTAAAACTGTTGAGCCATCAGAAAGGCCAGCGAAATTACCACCTCTTAGAATATGATGTTTCTCAAGGAGCTTAGAAAGTCGATTGTTAAGAATTTTAACAAAATCTTTACAAGCGGTTTCTAAGAGTGTGATAGGATGGGTTTGGGTGATATCACAATTCCAGTCTGTTAGTTTAGGAATAGGATAGATATAAGTGATCTTTCATTCGTTAGGTATTTTCCAATAGAGAAACACATGCTGATGAGTTGCCAAAGTAAATGTTGCATTTTAGAACCTAAATGGGTAATTATTTCATTGGTGATTCCGGAGGGTCCAGTTGCTTTATCAGAGGATAACAAATTAAAAATGGATAGCCATTCATCAAAAGTAGAAGGTTACATCAAATTGGAGTACCAATTATTATTAATGTATTTCTTAAGGCAATACTGAGCTTTTCACTTTTGAGACATAAGATGAGTAGAAGAATTAGAGATAGCGTAGTTTTGGAAGTAATCAATAATAGCGTTCTTAATTTCAGTGAATTTATTTTCACCAGTATTTTTGTTATTGATAAGCAAGCAGTTCAAAATAATAGAACACTTTTTCTGATTTAAAATAAAATTAATCATTTTAGATATATTATATAACAAATCATCACATCTTTTATCAACCAGTTATCAGATAGCAGTTTCATTTAGTTTTATCATATTAACTTTAGCCAGGGCTATTAAAGATCAATGCATAAATTTAATGTGTTATTTGACACCCAGAATGTTGTTTGAGTCAAGAGCTGAAGGAAAATTAAACTGAGTGAGTTTTATATTAGCAATGATTTTGTTGAGGTTAGAAACTATTTGTGGCCAAATAAAGCTGGTTAGTCAAAGTTTTGTTACAATAGATATTATTTAAATATTAATAAAATTGAGCCAACTTTTTTTTGAGCATTTAAAGAGTTTGAGGTATCATATAGATATTTTCCTTTTTGCATAGGTATGATCCAAACATGTGATATCTCCCGTTTACTTGCTATTAATGTTGTTGACTTGATAGCAGACCATAAAGAGTTTATATTAGCAAGGTTGTGTAAAAATCCTTAAATTGGTCTAGATAGCATAACTGAATTTCTTTATGATTGGCCACTATTTGATAATCAATTACTAATTGTGATTGGTTAAATTAAATTTGACTCTCTGTACGAATTGCATATGCAATTTTTTTTGAATTTTTTTTAGTTCTTTTAGTAAGATTTTACATATTATGAAAATATGAATAAAACTAAGAACCTTAGGCCCTGCTCTATTATGAATTGTACACATATGAATATTAAGTTTCATCTTATTATGAAATTTGCGTATGATAAATGCCTTAAGAATAATATGCTACAAACGTATCCTTATCTTGAAGTAGAAGAACAATTATGCCACTCACATTATTGCATTATAGTAGAGGCCAACAGGAATCAACGAAGAAGAAAACTAAAATATATTTGAAAAAGACTAGCAATTCAAAAAAAAAAAGAGAAGTATTAGAATCGATAGAACATAATAATAATACTATCAGACCTAATGATAATATAGGCAAGTATTTAGTCATATTTTTAGTCTAGTGTTTTTTATATATGAAATATTTTTATTAACTTTAAAATTTAAGATTACACATTTGCTTCAAAAATTCAAACTTTAACAAAAGTACTTTATCATCAGCAATGCAAAGAACATGCAAATTTAGAATTGGATCCATCAAGATTTGAGCATATGATTGAAGATGCTAATCCTCAACTCAAGGGTTTTTTTAGTTATATGATAAATTTAGTTATTCCTAAAGAACATTCTACATACAACATAAATGAAACAAAAAAATCAATCGTTGGGCTATGTTATACAATAGCAGGTTTGTGGAATAAATTTGTTAATAACATAAATTAGAAGTTGGATTGTACTTATTGACATCAGATGCAACATGGGAAGCTATTAATACTTTGTTGAGCCTTGGATATTCAGCATGTGCCAAAACAGTAGATAGATATCGCAAAAAGATCCAAAAAGAATATGTATTAAAAGTTGAACAACGCTTTATGAAAAATGTATGTCTTTAATTATAATTAATAATAAAATATGTACAGTATATATATCTGATCTAATTATTTTTTTACTAGAGAGATGTGTTTTATATTTACAACATAGATAATTATCATGCAATTCATGAACTTCGCAAACCAGATACAGTTTCAATTTTAGCAGCAAAACACTTTGTTACATGCGTAGCAAAACCTGTTATAGATTCCCAATTTGTACCACTTATTTTTAACAGTATATCAATTCATAATCCATCAAATGTAAAAGCATAGAGAATTAACTGGTATTTAATTAGAAAATATGGTGGAATATTCGATACCTCATATTTAGATCATCAAACATTTTGGATTTTACAAAAACAATTAAACATTAATGAATATGATCGAATTAAAGCATTGATAATACATATTTACAATAATAATATTATGGAATGAAAAGATGAATGATCTATAAAGGATCTTTAATTAGTTGGATTTAAGAAGCAACATGTACATTCAGTTCAGGATTATGTTAATACATTAAAACTCATTCTATTTATAAATGACAAAGCAAAGCATTTGGATAATCGGGTTGTACCAATTGTCGCAGATTAGCCTAGCCAGATATTTATTCGAAAGGTATTATACACAAAAGGATTATCTTGTGAATTGAAGCATTTCTACTTATTTTAGGTCTTCTTGATATATTATTAAACAGTCGCGAACAGGTTTTATTAATATATTATCCTTTTTTTGAAAACCTATTTCATTTTGTATTTGGCAAGCATAAGGTGTTAGCAAAAAAACCCACCCATGAAGAATAAATCTCTTATAAGAACTTGTACGAGAAGGTTAGATCAAGATTAAAACAAAAGTAATGGATAAATTTGGACAAACCTGTAAAGATATTGAGTATCGAACTACAATTGATTTACTTGATAACTTAGTTCTAGCAGTTTTTGATATTTACACAGTTTTATTTCGATCAAGTTCATTTGATGAATATGTAGAAACAGTTTTTAGAATATGAACATTTGCTTTGAGATAGAAACGAAAAAACTATAATAAAGCGCCCTTAATATTTTTGTCAGACTTGTTTTATTAGAAGGATAATAACCACCCTTTTTATGATATAATTAAGACATATTTACCAAATTTTAACGATTATTATGTGGAAAATACACATAGCTGAATTTGAGTAAATACCTCACCAAATGCAACAACCGATAGTATTATAAAGCAGGCCTATGTTATCAGTAATATTAGGGATATTTTAATATTTGATTGTTTAATAAAATTATATTTTATTTATTTTTATTTATCAATTTTTAGTAAATCATGACCCCGCATTTAAAAACATGTATTGCAAATTAAGACAATATCCATACAGCATTAGGATACTTGATTTTCTATCAAATAAAGCTAGCCTTTTTTTATTACAGTATTTTCAAGAAATATTTCTTAATTGTGAACGAAGTGGGCCAAAACTAAATAAAAAAGCCAATAAAAAGAAACCTTCAGAAATTTATCAGCTTGTGATCCTGGGAAAAGAGGTAGACTTATGGTGTTTACTAACAGGATATAGCATATCATATCCACCACAACCTGGATTATGTGATCAATGTAAACTTCCATTTATTGATGACAATGGTACAGTGTTTATCTGTGATCATGCCTACTATTCAACTTGTTATCACGAAAGATGTATCTATTGTGAGGAGTTCTATAAAAAAGGAGTGGTTAAAAATATTGAATCATTCTTAAAGTGAATTGAAAAATCAACAAATACATTTATCTTAGAGGATCTTGTTGATGATGATAATACGGAGATGAAGATAAAAGAGAGAGATGATGAAAATTCTGAGGAAATAGATAAAACACTAGATATTTTATCTAAACTTACAATAGAAATTAACCAAATAGAAAATTAGTAAATATATAGATTAGTTAAAATAAAAAAAAATGATAATTGTATACTAACTGCGAATGATTTTTGATAATAAAATATGTTAATATACATAAATATTACCTTATGAATGTTTACTATGAAAAAATATGACTAGGAAAAGTCACGCAAGTTAAGAGATCTCAGAGATGGATCACCACATTTTTATTGTATAGCAAGTAAAAAACAACATGGTAAAGTTTTTTTATAGCATTAATAATTGTTCTTAGCGTATCACTATATGATACTACTTTTGGTATATGGGGTGTGAGCTAGGAAAATGACCTTCTGAGATTAATTTACCATTTTGAGTAAATGATAAACAAAGCTTTT